AGCCACATTTAGCCAGGGCGCCTCGGAGGTGTCTTTGTTCGTCCGTTTTGGCTTGGTCTGAAGTGACAATGTTGTCTGCACGATGGAAGAGAGTTTTGATCACTGCTAGTTTGTGTTCCAAAGGGTGGTGGGAATCAAAAGCCAGGTACTGATCAGTGTGGGTTGGTTTCCTGTACACTTCGAAACGAAGGTTACCATCTTCCTCTACGATAGTTTTGGTGTCTAGGAAAGGGAGCATGTTGTCATGGCTTGGCTCCTGTGTGAACTTGATGTTGTCATCTATCTGGTTGATGTGGTCAAAGAAGTCAGCAGCTACCCTCTTTTTCAATCTGCACCAAGTGTCATCTACATATCGAAACCAGTTGGCCGGGGGAGTGTCATTGAAAGTGCTGAGGGCTTTGTTTTCAAACTTCTCCATGTACAGGTTTACAACAATTGGTGAGACTGGTGATCCCATAGCACAGCTGTGCATTGGCACTCCCAGCCCCGAGGACAGACAACACTTAAGCTCCTGTCCTGTATAACAGGAGCTTTCAGACTAATTTGCATCATCTTGTCTTGACTTGTCTGACTTTTGTTCCTTTTTCGACTTCCAAAAATTTGTCTTCACTTTATTTGCATATCAATCAACAGGTTGTGTATATAAACCTGCTTTCCCCTCTGGTCTCTCAGTCACTGACGAAAGCTAGTGGATACTAGCTGAAACGTCTGACGTTTTCAAAATCATATCCAGTTGCTTGAGTAACTGTTTTTTTTTGGCATATCGTATTACCTGGATGTCTAACCTTCATCGACGTACAGCAAATTTAGTTTATTTCCGACCGGCCAGCAGTGCCCACAAGCTCCACCGCACCGAGGAAGATCGAAAACGAGGCTAGCCAAGGCGGCAGCGTTTTCGGTACACAGCAAACTATCAGCTATTTTTATACCGATTTCCCAACGAATCGTGAAACTGTAGTGTGACCAAAAGCACCATAAAGCCACAGAGACCAACGTACAGCGGGCAGAAGCGAGTTCTGGGTCTAGCTGGTGCTTCATTTCATTCATCTCCAGAAGGACGCCGGCCGGCGTCCTGACAACAACAAGACAACATGGCGACCGACGCGGAGGTGAGCTGGTCGACAGTAGTAAAGCGAGGAACCACCAGGGAAACGGTTTTTCCTATATTCATAATGGAGAGGGAAATTGTCACGAAAGAAGAGGCTTATGCAAATCCCATAAAGGAGGAAGAGATGTATCATTGTCTGATACAAAGCATTAATCCAGCCCACCTGAGATCAATCCAGAGAGTACGGGCCTTATGGAGGGTCTATCTACACAGTAATGAAGCGAGAGCGAAGTTGCTGATCGAAGGGATCACCGTAAGGGCTAAATCGGTCGACTGTAAGGAAACGAATCCTTTCAGCCTGAAACACAGAATGCAGAACATGAACAACACACTAATTACAATCAAGGACATTCCAGAATCAGCTGATGACAGCATTATAGTGGAATTCCTGACTAATGCAGGGTGCAAAACAGTCGGACGAGTGAATCACAGAAAAATCAGATATAACAACCGACTTACCAACTGCAGCAACGGAGACAGGCTGATTTACATCGAACAAAAACCCACAAAAGCCATACAACGAAATGTGAAGATTGGGACACACTGGGCGCGAGTCTTCTACAACGGACAAGAACTAGACCGAGAGCAGATAACTCACACAGCCAGCGACCAAAATAAAGCAAATGATGACACTCAGACCGCTGTCAGCACACCTACAACAGAGTCAAATATGGACTTCATTGATAGAGCGTATGAGGAGCATGTAAGCCAAACTGGAAAGGAAAATAATACATCCGCCATGGGGGAATCCCCAAACACCGAAGATAAACAAAAACAATCAGAAGAAAGTGAAAGTGACGACAAGTCAACAGAACCTACGACCAAGAAAGATAAGAAAAAGAAAAAGAAACAAAAAAAGGCAAGAAAAAACAAGACGACAACACAAAAGAAGATGACACACCGGTTATGCAGAAGGAGAAGCCAAGACAAAGAAGTAACTCACTTGGCGATATGGACGAAGCAAAAGTGTCATCAATCTTAAAATACCTACGAAAAGGAAAGGAATCTCAACCAGCGAAGAGGCCTCGAGAGCCAAGCTCGTCGTCCGAAACAGCACAGACATTGCCAACAAAAAAAGCACAGATGGAGGACCTACAACAGCGGAAAGCTCATTTGCCGAGGAGGAAACACAAACCGCAGTGACATGAACGCTAATGCAGATAAAGCGACGTCATCTACGGGAAAGAAAGCAGAACGGACTAGACTACGAATATGGATTATTGATTAAGACTCTTTAGACATACAGAGACAACAAACATACGTAAGTATTT